TTTATATTAGTAAAAATATAGTTAACGTTTCAATAGACAAACTCTATTAAATTATTATTCTTAATTATTTCCATTAATCCAACGTTAGAGGGAGACCATTCATAAGTTCCATTGAACAGCCCTAGCAATCAAATGTAACCACTGAACAGAAAAGTACTCGTTTTAGGCGAATGATAAGTTTTTCAAAAAAAATGTTATCGTTTGACAAGGTCCGTGAAACAAGGGGCCCCACTACCTGCGTCAACTTTGTCAGCTGTTACCTTACTTGAGTAGATAAATGATAGTTTGACTGATTATCACCATTTACAGTACGTCGGAGGTACAATGTCCTACAAGTATCGCACAGCCAACGGACACCCGTTACAATTCTACGTGGAGTCTTCTATCTGCCGTTGAGGATGTACGCCACCCACCCGGAACGTACAACACGTCCGAACACGACGAACCAACACACACTAGTGCACAATGGCCATCAACGCTGTCAACTTTTGACGTCCGATAATCATGACGGACATCGTGTTGACGCCGCCAGCGACAGTGCTACAATTTTATAAGAAGAATACTTATTTATTGTATTCATCTTCGGTTTTTAAATAATCTGGTGATGTTTATTAATAATAACGACCCACCCCAGTCTTTACCATCTAAATTAGTGTTGACTACATTAATACGGCGAAAGTAATGCGGATGATACTTTACTTGTACTTTGTACACTTTAAATATTAAATCGTAATAAATTTTTAATTCAATATAAATTGTGTTAAATTATATTTATACAACCCCGACGTACGTTAAAAATTACAACGTATTTGTTTGTATTGATGATAATTTAAACATTTATGTATTTTATTTATACAAATTGTATTTAATATTATAATAGTATTGAAATTTTATTTTAATGATATGTCGTTTTAGAAATGACAGATATGAAAATTAACATATCTAATAAAAGATTTTAAAGTTAGGTTGTAATGATATTGTAAAATCAATTCGATTGACAATGATAATCAAGTTAGCGATATATACGAAAAACAAGATTAATTTTATTAAAGTAAAATCTTTAAGAAAAATTATCCCATTTGATAACTTGTATGTTTATAAGATAAAGTTTTTTCTATTTTTAATGACAACTAGAGTTTAGAAAAATTATTTTAATGAAGATTCAGTATGGAAATAACCAATTTATTTTTAAACGAAGGTAACAACACATACCTTTTGATAGAATTATCATATTGTTGAAATTTTTTATTATTATTGTTATTTTTACCTACTTAGACTATGTTTAAAGCATGTATGTTATTATATATCACTAATGAGAAAAAATATAGAAAAACACTTTTTAAATTTTTAAGATAGCTGTTTTTTAGTTCTTTTATTCCAAGAAAATTCTGATGAGTCCAAAGAAATTGTAGAACTTATTAAAATACTTGTAATTCCATGAGTACTTATCCTAAAATTATTATTGACTCATCAAAATTTTGTGTAAAATCAGGTAAAAAATTGGTTGTTTTGGAAAATTGAAAACAATAAAAAAATTTATCGTTTCCTTATTAGAGATAAATATTGAAAATTATACTTTAAACTTAGTCTAAGAATTAACACGGCCGCCGGGGATTGACGGCCGGTTATAGAAAGTGTACCGGAAATCATGTGAAAAAAAGAGGCACGGTACCGGATTAGAACCCGCGACCTAAGGCGTCGTATAGACAAACCTTACCACTAGGCCACCGTGCACTTATGATTCAGATCCCGATACACTTTCATTTAGGTTGATAACGTGATGTGCGGCTGAGGGAAACACGGTACCGTGTCAGAATTAAATAAAAAAATTTCAATAAAATTATAATTGTATCAAAAGTAATAAGCGTTATCAATTAGGTCTAAGCACCTACATATATAATCACCATGTCAAAGTTATTATTACAATTTATTGAATAAGAAATATTTCTATGTTTAAAATTTGATCACAGGTTTTGTTTTTAGATTTTTTTTTATTTTTAGATAAAAACATCATCAAAAGTTATAATTACTTGAGTTATATAATTTATGAAATATGTTAAAAATAAATTTCAGGAAATTTTAAAAACCTTATGACCCTAGAAAGTGCTAAATAATGATAATATTGCTAATTCATATGGTTTTAATCATTAAATTATTTTAATGAAATTTGAAATTTTTCGTTTTACATGAATTATTAAAATTCATATCTGTACCTTTATACACAATACATGAAATATTTGTTTAAGCTCAAGTTAAAACAAAAAATATGGTTTTGTATCATGTGTATTTACACAAACTTTAGTCATACATTAAAAAAAAAACACTAACGAAAACCTAAAAGATTATTAAAACTTTACGATTCTTCGTTGCTATTGAGAAGTTCATATAAAAATGGTATGTAAAACCTAATTAAATATATATATTTGTTTTTTTTAATAATTCTATTATTAAATTTTTAAATCATACATCTTTATTTTAGCTTCGATGCGAAGCTGAGAAGGTATTGGTTTTACTAAGATGTGTTTTTTTTTTTTTTTTTTGTGTCTGTTACCACTTTTTCTCAGCTCTCGCCGAACGGATTTCTTTCAACGATACGTCAAAAGATCACAAATCGTATCTAGTTGAAGACATTATCCTTAAAAATTGAAAAAATTTCACTCATTCCCCGTAAATGGGGGAAACCTCCAAAAAAATTACAAATTTAAAAATCGCTAATTTTCGATATTTTTTCTTTTTTTTTACTTAAAATTGCCCTTTTTTAAAAATGACCGAATCAATATAATTTTTTTTTAAAGATACCTTAGATATTTACCTATCATTTTATATATTTTTTTTTATAAATTTGACCCTTTCCCTGCCCACAGAAGGCGATTCAAAATGACAACTTTTTCACAAAAAATGAACTTTTTCAACTTGACTTTTGAAAATGTTCCGGAAGGTCTGACACTTTTGTATATATATTAAATTAAAGCTAATATAATGTACTTTATTATGAAAAAAAAAATTTGACCTCTAGAATTGACTTCGTGGTGAAAATGGCCACCAAATGCTATTATCGTGTGAAAATTCTCGATTTTATTTTTTATATTTTTAACTTTATAATGCTATAACTTATTGAAAAGTGCATAAAAAAATTGTGTTGATCTATTTTTTTATGAGATATAATATTTTTTAATAATCCCTTTTTCATTCGACAAACTTTATCTTAATTAGGATATTAATAAGGAACTAGCAGATCATGTAGCTTTTGGAATAATACACCAATTTTTTAAAATTAAACACTATCTAAAGATTTGCATCGAAGCGTTTTTTTTTGATAGTGATTTTAATCACTGTCAGATATCATTATACTTGATCCAACTTTGCCACGTCACCACTGTGCCACGACCCCCCTGTGCTGGGTTTTTTTTAAATTTATTTCGTGAAAATTACTAAAATCAACATATAAACATTTGAAAAATAGCCATAAAATTTTTTCAAATAACCATTACAAAAATAGTATATCGTTTTCTCCATTTCAAAATAATTTTATATCTACATTTTGTAATTTTTTGATTGAACAACCTTATTTCCATTGTTAATTTTACAAAAAAAAAATGTGTTTATTTGGAACTCCTGAAAATTGTAAAAAAACAAAACATAGTTTTTAAAAAAAGGCGGTGAATCGTCTTCATCACCGCCTTCGATCATCTTTGAACATCGAACATTTTTTTATAAAATTAAAAAATAAACTTTTTTTACTCTCACCTAAAACATAAAAATTACCAAAAAAATAAAAATAAAAATATTTAATTTTTTTTTTCAGAATAAATTCACAGCATATGCCATCATTATATGTATAGCGNTACCAAAAAAAGTAAAAATAAAAATATTTAATTTTTTTTTTCAGAATAAATTCACAGCATATGCCATCATTATATGTATAGCGTTTCAGTGTAATACTTCATCTATTTTCAATAATTAGCAACTAAATATTTGATATAAGCATCACTTTTCGTTATAATTATGATTCTCTGTATTCAGAAAATACGAATTATTGTATATATTTTTTTTTACAAAACCTTTGNCAATACCAATTATTGTATATATTTTTTTTTACAAAACCTTTGTTTTTAATTAAAATCATTAATTATATGTGACAATGATAATGATTTGTTTACACATTATTAAATTTAAAATACGATAAGATTTCATATTTTAATTAAATAATGTGGCTATTATATAACACTAATATATATTTTTGAGTCACGGGAATAGTTTAAAAATTCTCAAAAACGTAATGTTGTAGGTTAATAAAAATATTATTGCTTTGAAAATAAAATTTGTCGCCATAGAATAAAAAGTTTCTAACTCAAATTTTTACACTTTATAGTAGAGTGATTTTTAGTTCAAAATTATTTTTTTTGTAACCTATTATTAGAAATGATATTTTGACTATATAATATGTAGAATGTTTTACTGAACATGATGAAACTTGAATATGAATTATCCTTTAGTTATTAACGAATTTCTCAGCTTATAGTTAATATTATCTGATTAATAGTAAATTATCATTCTATTTAAAAAAATATTTTATTATTTAGAATCTTCCTAAATACTTTATAAAAAATCGTAGATCAATTTTAGTAGTACTAACATTTTTAAATATGAATTAATAAATTAGAAATTTCCATTAAAAAATTGATTTAATAACATAACAAATAATTCAAATGTTTTAATATGACTATTCATGATTGATAATATATGATACAATTTTAAAAATTATTAAAATTTATAGAGTTATTTAGATACAATATAACTATTAATATTAACTTTAAGTTATGAAATTAGTTTAATCATAAAATTCTCAGTTATTCGAAAATTTTCATTTTCTGTAACTCCTTTAGTAATGGATATTTTTTAATAATTATAAAAAGTGAAAGCAACAATTGATCTTTTTGAGATGACAAATTTACTAACAAATTTTTTTACAATCATCAAAGATTTTAAGTGTCTACCCTGAAAATACATTATTTGTAAAAATCAATTTTTAATTTTTAACTCTTTGTCTGTGTCGACAAAAAATTATTGTAAGCTATAATATTATTATTTTAAGTTTCTTATATGTGCACTAGGGTGACAATAAAATTAAAACTTTTAAATATTTCACAATCTTACCCCCAATATTTTTCCAAAATAAAAAAAAATTGTTTTACAAAATTTAGTCTAGATTAAAAGATAGCTCAAGAAGATTAAAAATCGAACCAAAGAAGTAATTTTATAGTTTTATTTATCTTGATAAATATGATACGTAATAAAAGTGATAAAAATACACTATATTTATTCAGTACTTTACTGCATAGTGGATTATTATAACTTACATCGAAAATAACTTATTATAGTAGTAAAAAAATTACTAAAATTATTTTCATATTTATCGGAAATTTTTGTTTTTTTATTTTATTTATGCTTACATTCAACAAAGAGTTATTTCTAGGACTAATTACACAAGTTGTTTTTTATTAAATTTTCTAAAAATTGTATTTTATAATTTTTTTTGTAACTCTCAGTTTTTTTAGAATGTAATGAAAAGCATGACACTGTAATATGATATTCTTAAAAATAACCATACTACTGAAGGTCATTCAAGCATATGATAGATAGCTTAAAAATACGTGATAATTTTGATCGCAATTTTATACTTTTTATTAACTCAAGAAATGGTGTTATTTCAAATCCACTTTCTGTTCGTCGGTATTAACTTAAACACCCGTTTTATTCGATACATCAAAAAATTTAATATTTTAAAGTAAATATTTAGATAAAAATAAAAATTATTGTTCATTATCTATAGTTCTAAATTTATTGATATTTATCATAGCCTAATATTGAAGTGCATAACTTACTAGTAAATATATTATGCACTTAAACACCTTAAAGTAAAAATTACGTTGTTATACGGATATAATTTTAAATTTTTTGTGTGAGTGTTAAAAAAATTAAAAATGACAAATAATATAGTCTATTAAAAATGCCTTAAAAAAAATATCAAGCAGTTCTCTGAATAAAAATTTTTATTTTTTGTATACGTTGATTTGATTTTTAAAAATATTATCAATGATAAATTTTCATAATTTTTGGGGGCTAAATCCCTCTAAACTCATTCAAATTTTGCTTATGAATATTTTCATACATGACATTAGAAAATTAATACATATACTTTTTTTTTGACTATTTATGCTCTAAAATACATTTAAATAACCTAAAAATGATAAAAAAAATTCTTAAAAATTGCAAAATTACAAAATAGAAGTTGTACTTCTCCAGAAGAAGTAACTCTCCATTACATAAATAGAAATTTGTTCTTGAAGTGCATTTTCTATGATAACCCTATGAAATATGTGACATTCACTAAAACCCAAGCTTTATTTATTAGTATCTAGTATTATATATATCTAGTATATATATAAATATATTATATACGATGACAGTCACATTTTAAAAAGTTCTTAAGAGATTAAAAATATTTATAGTTATTGTATACATAAAATATTGGTTTTACATTGCTTAATTTAGCAAAAACTGTTCAAAATACGAAAACAAAAAAAATTGTTAGAATTACTCATCAATTTTTTTATAGCAATAATGGTATAAAGCACAATATTAATTGGATTATAATTTTTTAATATAAACTTCTCAAATATAACTAAATAGACATGAATAAAAGTGAAAAATTAATTAGTAAGATAAAGTAAAAAATATATTTATATAATTATTAAACAACTTATCAATACAAAAAAAAAAAGATAGAGAGTTACAAAAAAATAAATGTAATGCAACTGTTTGACATATTTTTTGTAAAAACATATACTTTTAAAATAAACCGTTATTTTTATAGTTAAAATAAGTTATTTTTCGTGACACTTATAATAATCATTTTTGTAGAAAAGTTTCATACTAAACTAGAAAATTATCTATTGGATCCAATATTTAACTCCTTTGAGTTTTCCATTAGAAATATTCAATCTTGCATAAATTTTGTAAAATATTTTTTTTCATTTTGGAACAATATGAGGGTAATGTTGTTTAGTTTTTGAAAGTCTTGACTTCGTTGCTCTACTAATGTGTTTAATATTTAGTTCTCACTTTAACGAATATTTACCAATATTTATTTTATGCTAAATTGTTTATGAATTGTTTTGAATTAAAAATATTAATTAAAAACTAAAAAATATTTAACTAAAAAAGCGTGAGTGTGTCTTTAGCGCTGATGATGGTAACATTGTTCAAAAATACATATTCACGATTTTTTATAAATATTTGTGGTTTTTTGAGCAAAGTATTTTTTATATTTTTAATTTTAAATAATACTATACACAAATAATTAATTCTTATTATATGTTTATGAATTTCATAAGTATTCAACTTGGAATCAGTGGACGGCAATAAAAGTAAGAATATATTAAATAAGACATAAAAACATTTGTAACTAATTTAAAAAATTTAATTAATCACGTGTAAATTAAAAACAATTCCTTAATTTAAACTATTAAGTGACTTTTTTATAAGTTTTAATGAAAATTAAGTTCAGTTTTTTAAAATGAAGCTTCTTAATAGAGAATCTCCAAAAAAAAAGTTTATCAAGGTAATAAAAAAGATATACCGTGCATCACGATCGACATTCACGTATTAAAAAAAACATCATAGCTCAGTGAAAAATCAACAAACTTAAACAAAATTTTCAGAGTACTTTTAAAAAATTTCTAATCAGATTTGTTAAAATTTTTATAAGCACACGGTATGCTAAAAAAAAACGTTTTAGCTTTAGTGTCTTGTATCTAGTATCAATATCAAATTAAAAAATGTATAAGACAAGTTGAATTATATTGTTTCTCAATAAAAATGGCTTATTTTCCGTTTAACTATTTCATGTTGTTCTAGCTTCGATGCGAAGCTGAGAAGGTATTAATTTTACTTTGATGTGTTTTTTTTTTTTTTTTTTTATGTCTGTTGCCACTTTTTCTCAGCTCTCACTAAACCGATTTCTTTTTCTGACTTTTCCCATTTTTCTGACTTAAGAAATGAATTCAGTATATTAATAGCGATCTCATTATTACACGATGTCAATAAAAATACATCGAACAAGATGAACGATAAAGCTGCAATAGTTAACGATTTCATATTATTCGTAAAAATAATTAACAAAGTTCAATAGTAAAATTTTTATTTTTCTTAAAGAACTATTGAACATGTTACTATTTAACTGTTTTGAATTGTAAATAAGAGTTTTAAAATATTTAATAATATATCATTTCACGTCACTTTAATGTATTTGCTATAGATAATAAATTTATATGATTTATTTTTTTGGTTATGAACATTTTTATGAACACTGAGTATTTTTAGCTTCAATGCGAAATTGAGAAAGTATTATTTTACTATGATGTGTTTTTTTTATTAGTTTTTTTTTTATGTCTGTTGCCACTTTTTCTCAGTTCTCACTGGACCGATTTCTTTCAAAAATACGTCAAAAGATCACATATCGTATCTAGTTGAAGACATTACCCTTAAAAATTGAAAAAAATTCCCTCGTTTCCCGTAAACGGGCGAAATTCTCCAAAAAATTACAAATTTAAAAATCGATAAATTTTGTCATTTTTTTCAATTTTTTTTCTTAAAACTTCTACAACTTTTTCAAAAATCAACAAATCAACATAATTTTTTTTTATACTAAAACCTTAGATAATTTTCTTTTATTTGATACCATTATTTTGAAAATCTATCACTTAACCTGCTCATTGGGGGTATTTAAAATAGCAACTTTTTTACAAAAATTAATTTTTCAACTTAATTTTTGAAAATGTTCCGGAAATACTGCGTCCTTTAAACAAATATCAAATTAAAGCTTATTTTATGTACTATACAATAAAATAAAAAAATTTGTCCCGTCACTTTATCTTCTACATTTAAACGGCTGCCGTAGTTAAAAAAACACTATTTTTTGTTAAAATTTTCGATTTTGGATTTTAAATTTTCAACTTAAAAATGCTATAACTTTTTGAAAAATGTATACATCAGCACAAATTTTTTTTTTCTAAATATATTATAAGTACATATTTTATTTGACATACTTTTTATTAAAATTGGACAATTTCCCCTTATATAGGTGGCGTTCAAAACTTGAAATATTGTAAAAAACATAGATCTTTTTCAACTGAACTTTTGAAAATGTTCCGGAAAAACTGCGTCCTTTAAACATATATCAAATCAAAGGTTATGTTATATACTATCAAATGAAAAAAAAAAATTGGTCCCGACATCTTATCTTCTATGTGCAAATGGCTGTCGAAAATTTAAAAAAAAATGTAATGTTTGCGATAAAAATTACATTTTATCGGGATGTTTTTTGTACTTAAAACTGCCATAACTTTTACAAAAATGAACAAATTGACAATCGTTCGTATTACTTTATTAAATCAAAGGACCTGGTCATCGTGGTCAGTGGATTCTACTGCTTTGTGTCATATATCAGTCTCAGTACTCGGTTGTCGCTGTCCGGCTTTCTGTATTAAGTCAAGTCGTCTTTGTTCTTCCTTTTTCACCTACCTACTTTTGTCTTCTACATCTCAGAGTACTTGTGTCTTGCACTTCATCTGCACCTCATACTTTGTCGTGCTCCTTACTTAGTACGCCCAGTATTTTTGTCTTGCACTTCGTCTGCACTTCATACCTAGGTGTTACCCTTATATCATTCCTATAACAACGGCCTTTTGACACCCACATCCGACCCGGAGTGTCAGCCAAGCACGGTGATTATTATATAATCAGACATATGTGAATATCCAGGCGGCAGAATTCGTACCCACATTACTCTACGCTTACTCCATGGTAGGCTGTTTTGTGTTTCGACATATATAAATAATTTAATTATTCAAATTCTAAAAAAAACAATTGCATACATTTTAAATAAATTAATGTACTTTAAACAACAATACTTTAATTTTCGAAAGTAAAATGATGTAGAACTTTATTTTCAATAAGGTGCAACATTTATTTTATATTATAATTTAATTAAATACGTTTATTTTTTTAATTATATTAATAAAAAAACAATAATTGTTAAGCTACGATAATACTATAGAAAGATTTTAAAAAAAAATTAATTAATTAAATTATCATATAAAATATAATCCATTGTTTAAATTAATATTCTTAATCTTATTAATATAAATATTTAATATAGATTATATTTATTATATCTAATTTTATTTATTCTTCATTATTTTTATAATTAAAAATATTGTATTTAAATATTATTTATATATAATTTTATTAATAAAGAAATTGTAAGTAATAAAGTATATTTTATATTGTTTTTTTGAAAATTAAAGTAATATATTTAAAATGCATTAAACAATACAATTTCAAATAATTTCGATTGTGCATTTTTAAAAAACCACAATAGACGCAATTTTCACACTATATCATTATAACGTTTAATCGAAAACTTATACTAGCTATTTCACTTATCATAAGCCCATTATACCTTTCGTGACATTAGATAACAAAAAGCGTTAACATAGTGAGATCACGTGTGGACGTCACAGATATAGATAATATATATAATAGATAATAGTTTATTATCTATATCTGTGGTGGACGTAGCATAGTTGGGAAGAGTATATATAAGACAGTGATTAAAATCACTTTCATAAGGAACGCTTCTATGCAAACCTATGTCAAGTATTTAATTTTAAGAATTTGGTGGATTATTCCAAAAGCAAAATTAACTATTTCCTTCATTTTCCTGATTAGTGTTACACCAATTTACAAGTATAATATATGAATAAATATTTATTATAGAAATTAAATATATTATGAAATAGATATTTAATAATTTAGTGTTATAATTATTACAGAGAAATTATAAAGTAGTTTAACTTTTATGGCAAACGTGTATAAAAATTGAAAAGCTTGATACATAACTTTTCAGAAAATAATTGATTGTTCATCATAAATAAATGGTCTACAAGAAATATTCATCAGAGTCAAAAATATACTTTTCTTGATCAATTTTTTGCGCTGTTTCAATTCTACAATTAGATTTTTTCAATCACTACTAATTTTTGACATTATTACTAATTAGTTACAAACTAGCATTAAAATATAACAAAATAACCAAAAAAATTTAGGTTTCATTGAACTAAAAAAAAACAATCATAGTAAAATTAATATATTCTCTGCTTCGCATAGAATTTAAAAATTAATAAAAATAATTAATATCAATTAAAAATAATAATATTTAAATTCAATTCAAAGAAAATATTTAATTAAATAATTTTATAAATAATAAAAAATTTTTCTTTAAAAAAAATTTTAGATGCCAAAAATTGTCAATGGTGTAAGAAACCTGCAAAAATATCTACACGTCCTTGTCGTCACAACTTATGTGTTGATTGTGCAGCATTTATTAACAAGGATAGAAACAACATGTGTCCATTTTCTGGCTGTGAAAAATATACAATTTTATCTTATGAAAGATTTGGTATGTGTATTTTTAATTATTATTATTATAAAAATGTTAATAAACAAATTTATATATAAAACATTTTAATACATTTTATGCATTGTAAAGAAAAAATATATTAATCAATTTTTAAATTAAAATATTTTTAGGAATATTATCTGTAGTTAATATTCGTAAGAACATTTTATCAAATATATTTGATGCATTTTACAGTGGATTTTTGTGGTCTGTTAAAGTTGTTGATTGTAATAATTTTGTAGACATAAAGAAAAAGTGACTTGTGTGATTTTAGATCGTTTATTTTAATCTTCCAAATGATACACCTTTAAACAAGAATGTATAAATGACGTTGTAGTTAGACCAGCACTTGTAGGATCGTTTGAAATTGCTAATAGAGTAGTATCTGCCATATGCATAGGTTACGAGGATAGTTGCATTTGTTGGAAGATCAGAAATATAAATAATGTACAAGAAGGGAGCTTCATCACTACTATGAGGTACACCAGCTGAAATATCAAATTGAAGTAAGTGTTCAAAATTATAACGAATTTTTAAAGAGCGATTAGCAAGATTGGTTGGATTGATTGCAAGAATTTAAGTATTAAGTAGTAAGGTGCAATAAATATATTTCAACTTGAAAGAAAGTCCTTTACGGCGTCTCAAAGGTTTGAGTTACATCTAAAAGGACATCGCTGCAGAAGTGTTTCTGATTAGTTTCTAATGCATCTGATATAATATCAATAACCCGATGTAGTTAGTGCATCGTTGAATGATCTAAATTAAAATAAAAATTCAGGTATATCACTGTTCAAATTTACTAACACAGTTAGTCAAATAAACAGAGTTTTCTCTAGTACTTTACCAAGAAAAGGTAATAAACTTATTAACGTATGAAGAAGAAGATTCAAATGGTTTGTTAGGTTTTAAAACTGTAATTTATTACACCAGCACACAAAAACAAAAAAGTTGTCTGGACTTTTGACCAGACCCACTTACGGACATGTATTTCGACTTGCTGAATCCAAATTTGAAGTCCATTTGGCCCGGTCATCCTACAGATTTCAGTAAAATGCAAAAAAACCCCAAAAAAGGCGAAATACTGTAGTAATAGCGATGAAAAAAATTTTTGTCGATCCGGATAAGTATGATTTTTATGTATATCAATTTACTGAACCTGAATCTGAACGTTAATTAGCCCGTTGAGCCGTCAAAATTTGAAAAATATCGAAAAACCCCAAAAAAATTGCAATAAATCATGAAAAATCAAAATTATCAAGATGAAAAAATTTTTTTGGATTCAGATTGAGTATGATTTTTGTGTATTTTGTTCCACTGAATGTTAACAATAATTACTTTATATCCGTCGTGATATTAAAATTTGTGTGTATGCGGCAAAAGTCGAGGTTGGACTACTGGTCCTTTAGTCAATTTTAATAATTAGTGTACATGCTGGCTAGTTTTTGGGCTTAAATGTCCTTTAGTGGGTATAGTAAAAAGGTAGTTGTGCTAGTGGCTGACAAGGAGCCACCCTTCAGTCTGCTACTTTTGAGCTAGACTGTTCTAACGGGACTAAACTCTACCCCATTAGTAGTTCACAAATTTGAGGTATTGGGGCTGATCAGTTAATTCAACGGGAGGACTAGAGAAGAGCTTGAACGACGAACTCGTCGTCAATATATATATATATATATATATAAACATTAATTAATTTGTGTAAATCTTTTGTATCCACGTTGGGGCACTACCGACGTACGACATTAGTAAAACTCCAAAAGCAGTTTACCAGAAAATTATTCCCACTTGTAAATTGAATAATAATAATGGAAAAATAATATTATGACAACAAAATTACTTATGTGTTTTCACAATTATACTTCATTATAGTCTACTTATTATTATTCAAAACAACAGGTAGACTAAAGAAAATTTAATAATCATATATATAATCTTTAAATGACGTGTTTTTAATAAAAACTACCTAACATAAAATTGAAGCAAAATTGACATGTAAAAAGCAAAATCATATCTTACTAAAAACTATGCACGTGGAAATAAAAAAAGCAAAAAGGCTCATAAATCAGTAAAAAATAAACAGATTTTAACAAAATTTTCAAAGTGTTTTTTAAATATCTCTAAGCAGATTTGATCAAATTTTCTAGTTTTAAATCGAAAAACGCTAACGACAATTAGCATTATTGACAAACATTATTTCTCATCTTCGCGAATAATTTTTCGAGAATAACGTCGTCAAGTTATTTTTCCAACATTGCCTAATTTTCCAATGTTTTATTATATAATAAAATTATTTTTATATTCCATAAATAGATCCTTTTTTTATTAGACGAACATGGTTTGTGTACAAAATGTGAAAAAGAAGCATCATCAGTCACAATAATTCCATGTTTTCATAGAGTTGGAAATTTGTGTTCCAACAATCATGATTTGGGAGAACAAAATAAACTATGCATAATTTGTGATACACCCTTTCGAAAGTATTTAAATAAATGTATGTATTATACACGATATCATAAATAAATAATATAGTACTTCCGTAACAATTCTGATTAAAATTTATTTTTATTTAACCATGCTTCATCAAACAGTTATTGTATAACTCCATTTTTTACTTATTATGCATATTTACTTTAATTTTTAGATGAAATAGAAAATAAATGCATTAACTGTCAAAAAGAATATCCAATGATAATTATGAGACCTTGCAATCATCGCATTGGTCCAGAATGCTATAAGCAATATATGAAGTCCGAAAAGTGTCCAAAATGTAATATAGAAGTAAAATTAATTTCATATAGTACGTAACTAAAATTTCTTTAAATAATAGTGAACTAAATATTTTTAATGTTGACAATTCAGTATTTACTAGAGTGATGCCAAGCGTTTGTCTAATATTTCATAAAACCTTATAACCCACAATTTTTTAAAATTAACATATATACTTCAACAAAAATTTGTGATTGAAATGAATTATATAATAAAAATAATTTATAATAACAAACTATAAAAGAGCTGTATATTTCATCACTTCAATGACTAACGAATATAAAACTTGTAAGGCTTGAGGCAACAATTTTCAAACAAATTTTTTTTTGTTAATTATGAATAAATATACAAGTTTACAAAATATATTTCATCAGAGAACAAAATGTACTTTCCTAAAAATATTTTTGCTAAAATTCAAATTCAATTAGATTATTGCTAATTAGTAAAAAAAACAAGAATTTATTAAAAAAAATAATTATTACAAAAATATATTTTTTTTCAAATTATTATTGATTTCAATTATTAAATTGTAAAAAGTAATCTGTGCAAAATTTAATTTTTAACATATTTTTTTGGTCCTTTTAAGTTATTTTTATAAAAGTTATAATAAAGAAAATTTGAACTTGCTGATCTGAAAATGATTTACCTTAGCTAAAAAAAAAATTTAAAAAACATTACATTTTGAGGGTAATTTTTTGACGTATTATTGAATGAAATTAGTTCGATGAAAACTGAGAAAAAGTGGTATCAGATACAAAAAAAAATAATAAAATCAATATAGTAAAATAATTTCCTTCTATAACAATAATTGATCAATTGTGGCTAATATTATTTAAAATAAAAATATTATAAATATTTAATTTAATTTTTAGTTAATTACCATTTATGTATTTCATTAATTATAGATGAAAAAGAGTGTTCTATTTGTGGAGAAACAGATAGAAAATTCGTGACTTTAATTCCTTGTTTACATAAAATTTGTAATCTTTGCGCAAACAATTTAATGTTAAATGAAATTTTATTTTGTCCATTCTGCAAATTTGAACTGCTTCAATATGTGTAAATTTTCATATTTTGATTTATTATATTAAATAATAAAAATAGATTACTTATGGCTAGTATTATTTAAAATTTTAAATATATTTAAATTAACGTTTTTAATTTTAAATATTTTGTCAAGCATTTGTTTCCTAACAAATACCAAACATTAATTTTTAACTTAAAATATTTTTATAGTAAAATGATTACATATTTATTTAGACTTTATAAAAAGATGTATATGTAGAAAAGAGTTACAAGAAGTAACCGTGCACCCTTGTAAACATAAAGTTGGAGTTAATTGTGCTGAGAAAAGTTGGGAAAAAGCATTTGTCGCACCCAAATGCCCAGAATGTGACGAATACATTAAATATTTTGATATAGATGGTACGTTATCGATTAGTTTTACTATCTAAACTTCTATTTGTGGGAATTAAAATAATATATCCATAATGATCAAAAAATTAAAATATCTACCACCCATTCAAAGATTATACAAATATTCAATAAGTATGGAAAATTATTTCTATTTTTCCAATTATTCGTAACAATTTACATGATTATTTATATGACTTATATTGACTATTATTATTAATGAGTTTATATTGACTATTTAATAATCCTATTAACGTTCGACACTTCATTTGAGTAACAATGCAAATATTTGTTATTGCATTAATTGTTTATTAATATAATTTGGACCGAAAATATAACAAAATATAACCAGGCATATTTATATAATATATATAAATTTCATATAATAATAGTTGACATTTATAATATTCAATATATAAAAGAGTACATTATTTTTACTCATCTAAATACTTCTTTCTTTTGTTTATTTCTAAGAATTTATAATATTGTTTGATGACAATAATAAATAAATTCTTTGTTACAGAGTAAATAATTTCCCAAAATTAAAATTTTTATAATTCTTTGAGCAGCCCCAAATAAAGGCAACGAGTTAACATGAAAATTTTGATTGGCCTGTTTTAATTTTATTTTAGGTATTTTCATAAAATTCATTTATTGAACAAATAAAATTTATTTGTTCATTATTTAATAATGCCAAAGTTGATTTGTCATTTTTTTTAAATAAATGTATACAATATATAATGACCGAAATATCATCATTCGCCTCTTTCTATGAATATTTAAATTTTACCAAAAAATATAGATAATAAAATGGACAGTACCAATAACTAATATCACTTGAGTGGGGTACAAGGCCGCTTTATAAATTGTGCCGCTCATAGTAATCAAGTCAACCGCCTTAATTGCCTTTTTATTTTGCACATCAAAAACAATTATATACAAAGCGATCTGAGCATATGGCAATGCGTCAGACCAAGTTCTAGCAATGTTGATGTATCTTTACACAAAACAATTCTCCCAGTTTTTCTAATTATGCTAAAAAAATAATTTTTAGAATTTTTTAGTTTCTTATATATTTTGATTTATCAATCATGATGGACTTTTATGTTTATCTCTTATACCTTACAATAATAATGATAATAATAATAATAATAATAATATGATAACAACTTTTGAACCAGTACTTCTGAAGTTATTTATATTTTTATATCTAGGAGAGATGATTGATATGGCAAAGAAATGTCTAATGATAACTATTATTATTTTAAAATGGTAGTAACTTTAAAAATAATGGTCCAAAATATTGGTTCCAGTGATTTTCTTAATTAGTACATTTTTTATTTTATATGCTACTTAAATATGTAAGTTGCCAATTAAAAAAATAAAAAGCTTACGCCTTTATTTTTTTAATTTATTCTTTAAAGGACGAATTAAATAAATAATTAATAATTGATAAATCAAGAAATATAGTAAACTAATAAATATCAAAAATAATTTGTTTACCATGATTATTATTTTAAAAAATATTGAATGTCTAATGTTAAAAAAATTACGCTGTATGTATAAATTAAAAAATTTCATTTAAAAATCTTATTCTTTTTTTAGATGAAAATTTGAGAAAAAAGCTTAATCCGGAGAGATTTAATCATTTTATGTCCCGTTTAAAAACATACATTCGTTTTTCTCATTCAACAACAGGAAATCTACCTGCACAATAGTATATCTTTCAGAATTTTATTAAAAAATTAAAATATATAATACTACATGATTAATTTAAAGCAAAAATTAATATTATAATTAATTACATTTATTACTGTTATGTGACTGGTACTAATTTAATTATAGTTTCCATATTCTAACTCCACAATTGGTATATAGTGCGCCACAATGTTTTTTTATAATAATAAAAATATAACACTACCTAATGAATTTTATTTTAAAAAAGTTTAGTAATCTTATTTAAATACTTACATTCTCACTTTATCTCAAGATGTTGGGCTAGAAAAAATTTCCATTTAAGCATTTTTGAGTTTAGTAAACCTAATAATCTAAGGAATTTAAAACCAATATATACCAGTTTATAAAAATTTTTAAAAAAGACTGGAATAACAAAAAAAACAAAACTATCTGGTTTTTTATTTACTAATAGAAGTATTAAAATTAATTTCAAACCAATTAAAATTCTATTTTTGACTATATTTTATGCTGTAAAGGGGTTAAAATAGTTTTCTTTTTGTTTACTAAAATTCAAAAAAAAAAAATACTTTTTCTGTTTCAATTGTACACAGTAGTTTACTTTAAGAATGTATTTACATATAAAAATATCAACCAGTACAGTTTTAAATAATTACATATGTTAAATAACTACAAAAATAAAAATGACTGGTTTTTTAAAAAAAAGTTCTAGTTTTCTAGTAGGTAACTTATAAAGGATCATCAGGGACGTATCAAGGGAGGGCAGCGGTACCTACGCCTCGGACACAATATCCCGGGGGTCGCAAAATCGTAAAATTAATCATTTTTGTTAAAAATTATAATATCTATTATGTTTTGAGTACAACTTCATTATACAAGTACAAGTACAACTCATAATTAAATTTTTGTATATTGCCGTGTCGAGAGGCAAAAGAGAGGTTTTTACTTTGATGGTCAATTTCACATTGTAAAAATTTCGATGAGAGAATTTTTTTTTTTTATTATAGTTCAAATTAAAAGCTTAAANACTCGAAGAGAGAATTTTTTTTTTTTATTGTAGTTCACATTAAAAGCTTAAATATGATATAGATTTAAAATACATAATATTTTATTAATTGAAACCAAATTATTAACAATAATTTCTTTTTATTCACATAACGAAAAGTATACATTTACAAGTATAAGGAAAACTATTCAAAAACAAAATAAAATAAAACACGTATGTACATAATAATAATTTTAGATAAAAACAAAAAAATAGTAATTATACAAAAAAAAAAATTAAACAGAATAAGACAAATATATAATTAGAAAAATATAAATATAGATTAAACACTGAAAAAAATGTTCAAATTTACACTTTTTTATAATTTGGGATTGTACCAATGAATACTTTTTAAGGAATAAGAGTCTTTTCTATTTGTCTCAGAAGCAATTCTCTATTATTAAGATATCCGTCTTCGGATCTCGGAAGAGCATTTTCAATATCAACATTATTGTTTGCTTGACAAATGAACTCTATTAGATGTTGCTTAATAATTTTAGAATAGCTCTCATGTGCCAGTTCAGATTTAAATCTTTTTATTTGCGAGAACTCATACGACAGCATAGCATAGTTGAATTTTTAGATAGTGTTTAATTTTAAAAATTGGAGGATTACTATAAAAGCTACACGATTTGCTATTTCCTTATTAATATCCTGATTAAGATAAAGTGTGTCGAATGAAAAAGGGATTATTAAAAAATATTATTTCTCATTTTTATTTCTCAAAAAAATTGTGTTGATCCATACACTTTTCAATAAGTTATAGCATTATAAAGTTAAAAATCTAAAAAAGAATTATTTTACAAAAATCGTATCGTTAAGATTAATATGCAGTCAGAAAGTCTTATAATTACTATTTATTGTAAATTTAAATAAGTTTAACTTTCTATGATAAATCAATTTTATTTATATAATATTTATCCAAATCATTTTACTCCCTTTGTCATGTATTTTAAAATAAAATAATATACAAAATCCAGAATTTTAACTGTCAGTATTTCTTTAAGTGTCAGTATTTCTGGAACACTTTAAAAATTAAATTGAAAATGTCCTAGTTTCAATACGCATGTTTAGAGTTTTGACCCCCTTTGTATAAAGGGGTATGATTCGATTTACAAAAAAAGCGTGTCAAATAAATTTTATATACTTAAAATAATAATATTGATCCATACATTTTTCCAAGTTATAGCAATATAAATTTAATAATATAAAATCGAGAATTTTTTCACGGAAATCGTACATTTTAACACGCTTTTATTAGTTTCACTTGTATGTATGTATGTATGTATGTAACTCTCCAAACGCCACGCGTTATCGCATATTCCGTCGTCTAGACTAAACTGTCATAACGCATTCACCCCACCCCACGCCGCGCTCATCACACGAAGACAACACTATTCCTCTGTATAAATTTATTTTTGGTTATCGTACCCGTGTGCTTGTCATCAATATTATATATATATAAACAAATTTTTATTTTGACTGACCAATACTATCCGCGTACCATACGGCTTACGTATATATTCCTACTGCCGTTTATACCTCAGGTATAACGTTAGTCCGACACGCCCGCCCACAAAACACAGCTATACCTAGTGCATGATACTTTTACGTAGTTAAGTTGCATTATTTGTATATATATATATTCTAATTACTATTAAAAATATATATTAACACACTTTATTCTAATTAAGAGATATAAAGTATTCATTCCGATTTCGAGGGATGTTTTCCGTATTGTCATTTTTCGTCACTACCTCCATGTTCCGGGAGTGGGAAATTTGCGCGCCTGCTGCTTTCCTTGGATGTGGTAGCCGTTTCTTAGACTCCCTCCCCGGAATCGAACCCTGATTTCCCGTTACCCGTAACAACCATGATATTGATAGTAACTACTATCATAACATGAAACTAAAAAGTAAAAAATAAATATAGTTTAAAAAACTAAAAAAACACGCTTTTAAAGCACATCGAACTAAAAAGTTAAAAATAATTTTTAAAATAATTATGAACAAAAAATACTAGTATTATTGTGATAAAAGCGT